TGTGCCCGAAACATGAATCCGTATGCAGAAAGGCATGGAAAACAAATAACGCGTTCTACGGAGCCACTAAAGGGACATGGTTAGCCACTTGCTAGCGGAAGACTATTACATTACAGTACATGAAAGTTCACTTACCACATACACAGAGTAAGGAGAGATGACTGATAGGACAATGGCAAATAATTTGCAGATACTGAGCACCACTGACAAATATCTAATCTTGTAAAATGTGTGGTAGGTACTGCCGCTCTGTAGTATAGAGTCCGTGTGAACGCGAATCTCGAAAGTGAAAGTAAAATGAGAGCGCGCATTCGAACGCGGTTTCAATGCCCTGCATATTAGTAGTGACTCCCTGATGGCCGCAATTTAAATACAGTATAACTACCCAACGATATAATTGCGAGAGAACGTATTGAAATATTTTTTTTATCCTTCAATCTCGTAGGCTATTTATTCCCTTTAGGGATTCCGTAGTACCATTAATTTCCTTTCCGAACGCGGAATTGGGATCCGGCGGATTGCGGGGTGTATGGAGATCATGATGCCGGCTCAACATCGTGATGTCTGATAAAATACATCAGCAATACCACTTCGTGATTTTTTTTAAGCTTTTACTTGTCTGGAAAAAGCCAGTTGCTAACAAGTTGCTAAATGGGACTTCAAAGATTATCTGGGGAAATTAAATGTCAGCACACTGAACCGGTAAATTCATCTAACTAGTCCACTTTTAAAACCTTGTTGTGTTTATCTCTCACGAAGTATTTTAACTCAAACTAAAATGCGTTTTCGTGTTGTAGTGTGGACTGTGAAAATGGATGTACTGGAAAATGATGATGCATGTTTAGTCATGTGACACATATTATACTGATATATATCTATGTTTATACCAGTATTGTGCCCGTTATGTGCTATTCACTTTCACACTGTTGCTACAGATGTCTTACTTTGTACACTCTTCATATCACAGTCCTGCAAAGATGACAGAAAATGTACTTGCGATTGCTGTTTTGGGGCAAAACATGAGAGGGCAGTTGCATTTTAGATCTAACACAGGCTGCCACTAGGGGGTGTACTGCAGAGATTGAATGCAGCAATAAAAGCCACAAAAAAAAAAAAGTAAAAAGGCAAGTTTAGCTCTGCAAAGACTGCACAAGCTGAGCGGTAGTTAGTGTCTTTATCTCTGCTCCGCCAGGACCGCAATTCCCCTCATGCCCCGGCTTGCCTCCATCTGTCTCCCACCACAGGATGCCAACCAGGGACCCCAACCCTATCAGACCATCTCTGCCATATGCCTCTGTTCTGAGGTTAACCATAGGGATTGGTCTCAGGACTTTGAGAGACCATCCTCCTGAACCCAGAAAGTGCAAAAACATCAGTTAGACAAACACAGAGGATTTGCTACTAGATTGTAGACGTGCACTGTACTGATTTTTGCAAAATAAGAAATACTTATTTTAAAACAAAGGAGACTAAGCAGTGAACACACAGGTGGCATGACCTTTTCCATGGTCTGATCCATAAGTGTCCAGCTGTGATCGCTGCCTGATTGCCACTCTTTTTGGCTGTGTCATTTTCACTCCAGTCTAAGTATGTTCTGAGGGGGTGCAAGTAATTTAAGGATCCTCCTGGGCGTCCTTTCTTACACTGATCTGGGTCCAGTTCTGCAGTGTGTCAGACAATGACAGACAGCAGGGATTGCAGAACGACAGCTGATCCCGGTTCAGCATGTGTGCAGCTCCTACCCAAAGCCCTTATGCCACCTGACGTTTCAGTGCCAGAGGCCAGATGATGTGCTTCGCAGCAAGACAGGAAGCTTGGCGTATGATGATTCCGCGTCAGACAGACGGCTCTCAGCGAGACCGAAAGCTTTCTTCCCACAAGCAGTGAGTGTTCCGGTCTGGAGTGGGCGGCTGTCCCAACTCTCAGCCTCAAATCACTCACACACCAACAGGATAGCACTCGATTTACTGCATTTCACCACTACAATATTCTCAGACCACTATGCAACAAAATAAACATTACAATTTCTGGCCGATATCAATAAGCTGATTATTATCTTCGTTTGTTATAGCCGATACTAAAATTATATACTATTTTTGTCTAAATAAATTAAAAATAAAACACAAAAAACAATCACAACATTATGCTATAAAGTATGAAAATTATATCTATTTTTACTTACTTTTGCTTAAGTAACAGCATTACTACATTATGAATTTTTTTATAATGATTTAATTTTAATTAGTATTTTAACACTTTTGTGAAATTATATAATTATTTTATTAAATAATTATTTTATTACATTTTTAAAAAATTTTAGTACATGCATTTTAATATGTATTATTTCTTAAAACATTACTGTAAATATAAAAAAATATTTTAAAATTATTTTAAACAAACATTCAAAGATAAGATATAGGTTAACATTTGAAAATAGATGACAATAAAAGTATTTAAACAAAAATGGGGAAAATGAGCACACACACACAATTATATATCCTCCTAATACAAATAAATAAATACATCTGTAATATCGGCCAATATGGTACAAATACATTGTGAATGCCTATAAAAAATCCTTGTCAATGAATAGTGTGTTAATGTATTTTTTTTATATTAATCAACCATTCAAACATGCAAACAAATAAAAAAATAATAATTTAAAAATCCTTGAATAATAAATGGTCATTTTCAAAAGAAAAAAAGATTCAAGATTGTAAAAAAAAAAAAACGTATTAAATAAATAAAAACGTAAAAAAACTAAAATAAATTTAAAAATAGGGGACAAATTGTAAAATAAGCATGCAAAATTAAATATCCAAAAACATAAATAAATTTTAAAAAGTGTAGTACTGGCCATTATGCGCCGATAGGTCTATATTGTGCATCTTCTTTAATAAAAAAAAACACGTCAACGAATAATAAATTATAAATTTTTATATATTGATAAAACCCATTTGTGATGGTCAATCAGCAAGCCTGCTGGGTAATTTGGGCAGTCTGTGGCCAACAGAGTAAGTTTTGTGCAGGCAAACAGGTGCTGATGCACCGTAAGTCCTGTTTAGCTTCGGTCACGCTTTGGACCGATTTATCATTCTTCAGTCCCTGAGCTCCATGCGCCTCCACGACTCACTGTTACACTTGGCCCGATGCCGCTGCAGATCCATCAGCCGACACTCTGACACACCTCGCCGTCTGCCTGGAGCGGATGACATCACAGCTGGGACACGAGCTCATTTTTCAGGAGTGGAAAGTGTCCTTCTGTGTCGATAAACGTCATTCAGGGGTAACGCAGAGGAACGGCTCACATTCATAAGTACAGAATGAACATGAGGCAGTGAACCTTGGAGACAAGCGGGACAGAGTCGGTGACTGAATGCCACAGACGACAAGTTAGAAGTGAAATAAGAGTCAGATGCCTTTAAGCAACAATAAAGGCTCTGTCAGACTCTATCTGGCAGCGTATGACACAATCATGTCTGTGTCTCTCAACTGGGCCAGAACCTGCAGCGCACAGGAAAGGACACAGAGAGTGGAGCCTAAAACTGGGCCGAACACTAGTCACGACAGCCACTAGCAGCACACTCAGTCCAAGTCTGGACAGGGTCAGCTGACAGCTACACACACACACACACACACACACACTCCCCGTCTCAGTCTCGCATGCATAAAATATTAACAACCCATAAATAGAGCCGTGATTATAGGATGTTAATCGCTTTGGACATCATTAAGAAGCCATTTCAAACATTTCACTTCTTGTTACACAAATTAAGATAATTCTCAATCTTTTTGGAGCTCAAAAGTGACATCAGTAAGTAAATATCAAAGCCTCAAATGAACAAATGTGAAATAAAATGAGCATCTGCTGGAAAATGACTCATGCTCAATCCTTCATGCTCAAGTTCAAGTAACCCAAGACAAAAAACCCAAATATAACTACTGCACAATAAATGAATGCATTATTAAGTCTGACAGAAAAACTGTGGTGAGCCGAAGAATATATGAATCTATTAACGGATATATTTTTTACATTTTATTACTTTAAAACTTGATTCTGATCAGTCAATTATGCATAACTGAAAGATAAACTGGTTATTCCATCACTCTTCATGGAAACATACTACCATACTTCATTGTGTGACTCAACACGGCTACTATGACTATAATAAAAATGACATATTAACGTATACATACAGTTTTTTATATGTATGTGTGTGTGTGTATACACATACTAATAATTCTTATAGTAATATATATAAGCTATAATTTTGTAGCTGAATATGTAACTAAATATATACAATAGTTAAAAAAGTATAAATATATACAGTCCACTGAAAAAGTAACTAGTGCATGTATGTATGTACAATATATCGGAATGATACAAGACCCTTCCCTTACTAACTTACAGAAGAAATTACAAAAATATAATAATACATTTAAAAACTGCTCTAAAAGTATAAACTGCAAATCAATAAAGACCTATGTATGAATAAATCTTACATTAATTATTTGGCATTAACAAAATATATTTTTTAAAATGTTTTTCTTTACATTTACCAAATAATAATAGAATTAGGTAATGGTAATTAGCGGATTATAGCAGAAAAAACGAAGACAGCTAGCTCTGTCTGGCCCAAAATGAGCCCGATTACGTCTAAATGAAGAACTGGGTTACATTCAGGGTCCCGTTAAAGCAGCCGGCTGCGGTCTCCGTTAACGCAAGACCTAATAATACTGGCGATAAATGATCTGATCTATCTAAGAATATAAATATGGCAGTCTATAGTCTTAACTTGCGCAACAGCCCGACTATAGGCTAGTATTTGTTGGGCTAAATATGAAGTCGGAGGGTCCTAACAACTTTTTGTGCCCCAGACTAAACCCGCTACGCTCCTCTCTATCAGCGGGGCCACTGGCACAGCTGGCATCATTACGCACCCATCTCGTGCCCTCTGCACAAAAACCAGACATACACGAGGAGAATATCAGCTCCTTACCTCTGCAGAGTGGGATCAGGAAACGGCACTCTGAGTCCGCGGAGAGCAGAAGCCTGAGTCGTGTTGGCAGGTGATCCGGCGGAGATGACCTGGATTTCACCGCCAGCCTCGACGGCGTAAAAATAATCAGGCGAACCGAGGCGAGTGAAGCCAGCGGCAGTAAGACACACTCACTGATGGAGTTCAGACGAACAGCTTTTAAAATAAGAGACTCAACGCAAGCGCGCGACACAAATCTTCAAAATAAGAGTTTCATGAACCAAAAAAAATAAATACAAATTTAAAGAGAGAGATTGTAGAGTTTTTTAAGTTGTAAGTTAACGTTTTTTTTTACTACACTGTAAAATGAGATCTTATGTTGATTTTAAATGTCTTAAAAGTTTACAAGTAATTATTCTCATTCTTTTGCTTATAATTTTTTATACGACACCGAGCTGGATTTAGTCGTTCTCTCATCTTGAGGCCTGAAGGGCAGCAGGGACGTTAAGTGCATTCATATGCCTCCCCCTACTGGAATGTTTTGGGGATAAAGTCACAGTTTTACTTATTGAATAAATGAAAATCGATCACTGTTGCATTTTTAAAACACAGTTTCTAGTTTTCTTAAGAGATACAAAACGAAAAACTACCAAAATAAAGCTTTTTTCATTATATAGATAGTTGTTAGCCTAAATACTTGGTGTTGTGATTCCTTATTTTCATTCTGATTAAACAATATACTGGCATGAGTGATGGAACTACAGTATTTATTAATATTTTGAATAGCTCTATTTGTATTTCAGTTTTAATTTAGTCATTTTATTAAACTTTCCTAGGCAACATTTCTAATGTTCATTTCCTACGTTTTTGAATACTCCTACGCATTTAAATGATTGAAAACAATTTTAACTGGTTCAGTTAACTATAGCAACAATGGCTTCCATCGCCATTAATAAGTGTATTTTGATTAAGGCTTTATTATTACATGTTTTAAATGCTGATGTCACTGTTCAGTCCTCATCTGTATTTGGCCAGCATAGTTTCTCCCAGCTGAGCAGAAATACTGAGCAGAGCATTGGACAGTCATTCAGAAAATATGTCTGGAAATAAAACATGTGGCACCACTACATCACTACACTGTTTAAAAATTCCCTCTTGGCTAGGATATAGCCCATGATCAGAAAACAGTGAAATTGTGACCCTTTGAAATTGCTTATGTGTGCAATTTTCTTTCATATGTTGACTTCTTAGACTACTGTAGATATATAGACTGTTGCAGATATATATATACACACACACACACACACACTAGGAAATACATCAACACAGGAAAAACTGCACTCATCATTTCACAAAATCCATAAGAATATTTTACCCATATAAGCAGACATTTTCTCTGACAATAGAACAACTAACAAATTTGTAACACATTTCTATGTATAATCAATCTCTTCTTTACATTTTCTTTTCAAACCAGGAAACAAGATGACTCCAACACTCATTTTTAAATTCAGTCATAGCTTTATTTTACCTCTAGGTGGCACAAGGCCCAAATATACAACGCTGTCCCTCTTAGTCCTAGGGAGAAGCGTGGGAGTCCGCAAAGCAAAACCAGACTCGTCAAACCCAGATTTTGGGAATCCAGACTACTCTACTCAAGTTCTTCTGTGCAAAACCAAGTCTCAACTTCTATGATTCTAGAGCCAGAACCCGAGCCGCGCAGGATCTAGATTTGTGTGGTCTGGCTGTGGAGCTTGGGCTTGTCAATGAAACACAGACATACTAGATACAGTGTAAGAGTGTCTATTTTCCTCCAGAGATGTTCAAAGCTCATAGCAGAGCTCAGAATCATCCTCTCAGCGTCTGGTCTCGAAGAGACCAGTCGTGATGAGTCTGGTCCGGTCCAGCTCATGTTAAATAAATCCAGAGCCTTCCTCATGGCACCCGTGGTCTACCGTGCAGGTTAAACGTGAAGGTCAGTGAGTAGTGAAGGGGGCCCATGAGACTCCATTAGTGTACAAGTCTGTGCTGGTGTGTTTTTCCAGGGCGTCACATGCGTCATCGTATCCTCTAGCGGGGGCTAATGCAGTCGTGTCTGGCCCAACATCTTCAGCCTGGCCTGGTCAATCACATCCAGCAGGTTCTTGGCATCTACGGCAAGTGCGTGTGCAGCTGTTAGCATCTGTTTCTTGTAGTCCTGCTGCAGGCTGGTCATGACGTATTGCTGGGCCAACTTCATCTTATTGATCAGCTCAGCCAGGTCTGAATTTAGAAGCTTCTGAGCCATTTCAATCTGAAGACGAAGAACAAGAGTAACAATTAGCCGAGCTGGCACGAAGGACGTTGAGAATAAGAGTATTTAGTGTTAGTTTGTAAATGTGTTTACCTCTCGGTGCGTGTGAGCTGGTAGTAAAGGTATCGTCTCATCCACAGTGGCCAGCAGTGTTCTCAGTGCTAATCCCACTCCCTGAAACACACATTTTCATGTTGAGAATGTTGAAATGACAAAAACTATATGATGGAAAGCAAGCTTACAATAAAAAAGTGATATGACAGCTCTGAGATTCACTGATTATCTTCGTCTCCATTGTGGCTCTCAAATCAAACTGGTTTGATGCTGTGATATTTAGTTATAAGTAGTGTTATATTAGTATTATTTATATACTATAATAGAATGTATTAATATTTTGAATTCACTTTTTTTTTCTATTTTAAATTTAAATTTTAGTTTTAGTAATTTTGTGGTTATCATCATAATTTTTTTTTTTTTACTATTTCTATTTAGCTTTAATCTATTTTATCCCCATAATCCATAATAATGATTCCTCCAAGTCCATCCCCTGTTGTCCCCTCACATCAAAATCCACTGAAAAACTGTGCTTGAACTGTGCATATTTCTCTCCTGGTTTAGACAAGGTGTCCTTTTCATTGGAGAAAGCGATATTATGGATTGAGGACTTGTATTTTACTCTGAAGTTAAAAAGGTCTTCATGATGGATTTGTTTCTCACAAACACGCAGCTTTTCACTTCACAAGATGTTAATTGATGGACTGGAGCTGTGTGTGGATTATTGTGATGCTTTTATCAGCTGTTTGGACTCTCTTTCTGACGGCACCCATTCATTGGTGGGCAAATGATGAACAAACATTGGTGAGCCAATGAACAAACAAACTACAATCAAATGTTCATTTTTGGGTGAACTTCCTTTAACAATAACAACACTGGTTACGAGACACCTTTGATGTCAATGACCATGCCATAGATGCCTGCTGTCATTGTTTTGTTGTGTCATACCTTCACCATGGGCACGTATTCTTCAGGGGGAGCTGGCTGGATTTTACTGGACATCTCAATCACAGCCTTCACCAGCCCTGTCACATTTTCATAGACCTTATCGTTGGACCGATCTAAGTTAGCTGTTGGGGGTGGGTTGATCTCCTGAGGCTGAATCTAATGACAAATACAAAGTAACAAGCTTTAAAATGCTGCATTACTGACGATTATTCAATTCCAAGCATATAATGTTGCTATCTATAAACAAAGGATTTAGTATGAAGGTTGTGTTACTGAATCCATGTTACAGGGCACAAGTAATAATGAAATAAAGAGGTTTGTGTTATGGTACAGATTTCATGTTTGACACTAGATGGCAGCACAAGCAACTACTGGAGACCCCCTCACCACCTACTACAATACTGAGCTGATTAGAAATCCATCTGCGCACCCTTGATTTTAACACAAAACATGATATGTTGACAAAAAGGAGTAGTTCCCCCATGTTAAATATAAAAAGAGATCAAGGAAATATTTTAGTGTAGATTTTAAACACAATATACAACTCAATATACTGTTAGCTAAAATCACAGCTGATTTAAAAACCAAAGGACATGCACAGAGGCACAAGATCTATACAGCCCATGTAATTCAGTTTAGTGGATAATGAAGTTATGATTCTCAATGATATGGTTGCGTAATGACATGGCAACTGGTTAAAAAGGGGGCACAAAAACAGACAGAAACATAACACTGAGTCTACAGGTGGTCTTACCCTCCAGGGCTACCAGCGCAAAAACAGTGCAACAGAGGAAGGGCAGAGGCACAGAGCAAGAGAATAGTGTGCAGAGAGAGAGAAAAAAAGAAAGAGATTAATATAACTTTATATACACATGCTGCAGAGATAGAAAGAGAAAACAGCTTGGAGTTACGTCGTCATTGTCAATATATTTTTGAATCCAACCACATAAAACTGTTGCGAGATTTTAGTTCTGTGAAATTATGTAACTAAATTTACATGTAAAGACCTGATGAAATCAAAATGACAGTTTTGTGCCTTAATTTTGTACTCCCAAAAGTTGTCTGAAGTAACTTTTTAGTAAATAAACATTTAAAATGTACAATCTTCAGACTAGCAATAGCAAGTAGGCTATCATGACTGTGACATAACTAACCTTTTAGCTATTTAAAAATTCCCCAACCAAAGTTGTTGTTTAAACAGAAAATACAAGCCAAAATCAGCACTAGAAAGAAAACCGCACTTGTCGAGCGTTATTATGGGACCATAAATGTTTTCTACTGACCAAACACGGCCACAGCTAAAACTCCTAAAAACTATAAAATTGCAAAGCAGACCGCAATTATAATGTGCATTGTTCCTAATTATATTTTCCATTCTGCATTGCATTTCTGCTGTTGCTTGCTTGTGAGACCCCCTGCACGCTGACCCACAGCATCAGGAAAACCCGCTGGAATGGAAACTGCCAGGCTCTTGGTGTGCAGGGATCTTTTTATGAGAGACCCTGCAGAGCAATTGTGTGCTTGTGTATGTGAAAGGGGCTTCAGGAATGAGGATGATTTTAATGAGGCTTGGCAAACAGCATCTCTTGGCATGCTAGCTGCTCCTGAAGGCGACCCGCAAGTACAGATGCTAATCTTACCAGCCTCGCAGTGTGTGTGTATGTGTGTGTGTTTTTGGTGCTATTTCTAACTTTATGTGGTTTAAAAACAGCAGCAGTGATTATTGTAAAGTTACACATGCACAATACTCATCCAAAACTATAAGAGTTAGGTTTCTCATAGGAGTTTGCCGTGTAGTAGTTCTGGTACCTTCACTCCTTCATTGTAGCAGTCTGTAGGGTTGAGGCCGGAGACTCCTGCTGGGTGGCTGGGAGCTCCGGGCCGAGGAGGCTTTTTAGGAGGTGCTGCGTGTTCTGAGGACGAAAAAAGAGTCAGTCTGTAAGTCA